ACTGTATAATATGGAGTGCATAGGGAAGGGAAGTGTTCACTGTGTGTTTGTCAACTGAAGCAGTTATACAACAGGGCCATCCAAAAATGGAATTCCTCTCTTGCTTTTGTAGTATATGTGTAAGTTGAACCGCTTGCTTCTCTTTTACCAGTTTCATTCCTCACAGCAGGTTCTTCTTTCATGACCCTGTTGCTCTGAAGTCCCTGGTATCTAAATCAATGGCTCCAGTTTATGTTAAAAGGCTTCAATTATCACCTATAGAAAGTCAATACCTGATCTCTGGAATATGCTAAAAGACCATATCCTCTTAATATCATCAGATAAGCATAATGATTCTCAAGCTGAACTCCATTCCTTTGGCATGTCCATGCAGTTTCTTGTCAACAGTAGAAAAGTGGCTGCTTTTGCCTTTGGAAGGGATTTTTTCAATCTTCCACTTTAGTTTATATCACTGAGATTTTCTGGTGGTCCTACATTAAAAAATTAACCAGATTTGACTCTGCTTACCTTTTTTGAAGTCAGGCAAATTGTATTAGTGCAGACAAGGAGCACAACTAGGAGCATCAGCCCTAACTTTATTTTAAGGAACCATTAAACAGATTCTTGCAGAACTAAAAATATTTCTCCCATCCTCTCTTTTTAGCTTCCAGGAAACTAGGCAGAGTCCCCTCTGAAATGTTTCCCCCTCACTTGTGGACTGAGCTATCTCTGTTGTCCTGGCTGTAGGTCTTCCTCTTGTCTTCCAAGGTCATTCCCACAGACCATCACAAGTTGGCTAAGTGCCGATACTTTCTGAGATGCTTGGATTCAAGTGTACCTTAATCTTCTTTGTTAAAGCTTAGATTCCTGGTCTTTTTTTCTTCATGGCTACATCACATTCATTCAAGCCAGAGGAAAAAGAACTGACCAGAAGGGGTTGGTGCATTTTCTTTCTCCCTGGGCACCAAGACCCCCATGCGTGCTTGGTTTTGCTGATCATTTTAAACAAACAACTGGAGTCGAGGCAACCAGATGAGGCTGACATCTGCTTCTTTGATTTGCCAAGTCATTGCTGTTCCATAGCTAGCATGGATGAGAGAGGATACTGATGCCAAGTTCTCTTGGAAAGGCACAGTGCATTCTTCACGTCTCTCTCCCTGTCTCTCCCTCTTCCACTGGTTTTGTTCCTTTCCTACAGTATACTAAGGAGTGCATCTGAGGTGGTTATGAAGCTGCTTGAAAAAGTGCAAAGAACTTCTCAAAGGGCTGGCCCTGTCTGGTGAGGAAAACAAGAGCTCAAGAGGTGATCTAACAGCCCTTATGAGGAGATCATGCCACAAAAGAAAACCATTTCTGCCTAAGATGCAGTATTTGTAAGCATTGAAGGATAAATTAGGTTCAGATGAAGGGCTTAAGATAGTAGAATTCTGGGAACATGGCCTTAAATGGTCACTGAAGCACATTCTTTCTGCACAAATTCAAAAAAAACCATTGTATATCCAGCACTTTTTAAATATATATACACACACAAACTCACGTTTCAGTGAAGAACACAGAAAGCTACTTCAGCATACTAAGACAAATGACCCAAGTAGCTCAGTGATGCTCTTCAGATAGACATAGGCACTCCCACCCCTATTTGGAGAGGCCACAGGAGAACAGGTCCACCTGGTTGAGCTTTGGAGAACAGAAACTTAATTCTTGGACAGATTGGGAGAGCATGCAGACTGTAGGAGAAAGAAGAAATCTGCAACAGTTTCTCAATGAGAAGATGACCTATAGTAGTGACTATAGGACTGCTGAAAAACTCCAATGGAAGGAATTATTTCAAGATTTTGTCTTTTTAGTGGAGGGGGATTTAATTGAAGTGTGGAAAGCTAGGGAAACTACAGATTACTGGAAAAAAATATTGTACAATAGAGGATTAGACACTTACATGCATCCCATGGTTACCTTATAGCTAAAGTAATTTAAGATCCATATACAGTACCTTACACATGGAAAAATTTTCAACATGCTACTTTTCTTTTAAATTATATATTTAAAATAAATCCTCTGTCATCAAATTTAATAAGAAACTTAAATGTTTAAAGGTCCTATTTTTACTTCAAGTGCTATAGATTCTTCTTAATTTTGGGTAGCTGAAAAAGTTGCATAATGTGGACTTTAATTCTGTACTTAAAAGAATTGTCTGAAGTTCTGAATGGCTCATGGAAACCATAATCCAATATAAATATTTTAGTAATTGTTTTCCTAGCAGATTACTGTGAGGAAGTGTATGGAAATCAGCTAGCTCTGATATGTTCTTGGCATCTAATAAAATTCCCAATTTTATTAGATGCCAAGAACATATTTGCAAACTAAGATTGAAAGTTGATCCTGCAGCATGGGGACTTGTGGACTTTTATCTGTTAGGAAAATTATAAGCTGACAGAATCTTTTCTGCCAGCTGGATCTGGATGAAGGACCAAATTGCATCTCCAATCTTAAATGATGGGTCCCTAAGAGAAGAGACTTTGAACTTTCCAAAACCATATTATATTATTCTAGATATTACTCAAAAGCTTGAGTGTAAACCAGCTTCAAGCAAATTCTACTTTTACTTCCCCAATCCACTGAAATCTGGCATCAAATGCACAAACTCATTTAATTGGTATCAAAATTAAATCTAGGCTGCCAATGTAGGCAGTTCTGAGAATCTGAAAGTTGAAGTTTATATGTCTCAAGGACACCCAGCTGGGGAAAGTTTCCCTAATATTTGTGCATCTTAATGATAAAAGCTGTTATCAGATTATTACAGAATAACAGAGTTGGAAGGAACCTTGGAGGTCTTCCAGTCCAGTCCTGTGATCAAGCAGAATCTCCTTATGTTCTTTCTAGAGGAAGCAAATACAATATACATATCCAGAATTCATCCAATTTTCTAATTATCTGAAAACTTTGGGTGCATATCACACCATCTCTGCATCCAATTTTGGTTGCCACGATGTAAAAAAAGATGTTGAGATTCTAGAAAGATTGCAGAGAAGAGCAACAAAGATTATTAGGGGACTGGAGGCTAAATCATATAAAGAATGTTTGCTGAAATTGGGTATGTCTAGTTTAATGCAAAGAAGGACTAGGGGTGATATGATAGCAGTGTTCTAATGTCTCAGGGGTTGCCACAAAGAAGAGGGAGTCAAGTTATTCTCCAAAGCACCTGAGGGCAGAACAAGAAGCAAAAGATGGAAACTAATCAAGGAGAGAAGCAATCTAGAACTAAGGAGAAATTTCCTGACAGTGAGAACAATTAATCAGTGGAACAACTTGCCTCTAAAAGCTGTGAATGCTCCTACACTGGAAGTTTTAAAGAAGAGATTGGACAACGATTTGACTGATATGGTATAGGGCAGGGGTGTCAAACTCAATTTCATTGAGGGCCGCATCAGCATTGCGGTTGCCCTCGGGGGGGCGGGGGTGTGTGGCCAGGGTGGGTGCGGCCTACTGGGTGGGTGTGGATGGAGTGGGTGTGGCTTACTGGGTGGGCATGGCCAGCTCTACATTGTTCGCCTCAAGGGTGCCTGCCTGGGCAGATTTGAGGGTCTCTGGTAGAAGGGGGTGGAACCGGGGCAAGCGCCAAGGCATGGTCCATTTCTTCATTCCTCACAACAGGTGACACCTACCCAGCATGCACCCAGGGGGCGGGGCCGACACAGCAGACGCTGGTTCCTCGGTGTTTTTAGATGGCCTTGTGGAGCTAAGACTGAATGCGTTTCAGCATAGATGGCCACCACAAAATTGTACATTGGCTCCCGGACAGCCTGGGCCAGGGCCAAGGCAGTGGCAGCCGTTCCTTCACTATTTCCAGGATGGCTTTGCGGGCCACATGAAACCACTTCGCGGGCTGCATCCGGCCCCCGGGCCTTGTGTTTGACATGTCTGGTATAGGGTTTCCTGCCTGAGTAGTGGGTTGGACTAGATGACCTCCAAGGTCTCTTCCAACTCTGTTGTTCTATTCTATTCTATTCTATTCTATTCTAGTTTTTGTAAAATGGCATAATGGGTTGAATGAAAATAATCCCTTTATTGTTGCATATTGACAACAGTACTAATGCATTAATGCGCTAACATTTTCTTTAGTGCACACTCTGTCACTTCAGTTCAGGAGGACTTAGTGTGAGAAACTTCTATCTTTCCCCAAAACTGAAGGAATATCTCCATGGGCATCTGTTTGTTGCAAATGAAAAGGTGGAAATGACTGTCAGGATCTGACTGAAGAAACAAAATGTTGAATTCTTTCAGATCACTTTAATTGTCTATTGTAAGAAGTATCCAGTGAATGATAGCAATTATGTAGAAAAGTAAATACTGATAATAAGAGAGCTCATTCCAGCGATTATTTTCCTATTTCATTTATTAAAATATCCTAATTTAAACTAAAGTTATGGAAATGAATGCTTTAGTTTTCATTCAACCAAAACATTTAGGAAAATACTTTGCTGAGGGTGATCTTTTGTTATTAGTAATAGGCCTATAATTCTCCTATTGTAAACTAAAACTATCACAGAATCATTTTTTTCCTGTTGTCTTTAGATCCTTTGTCCAACGATAGATCAGAGATCAATATGTAGTATTCATATTTCTACAATTGTATCTAGTCACCTGCAGACGTTTGGGCTCAGGAATATTGATTAGATTTATAATCTGAAGGGATCTATTCAGATTAACTAATCCCTGATTTTTGACTACTATAAAGCAGTAGGTCTCACCTTCTACAATGAGTAGACCAATGTCATCCAAGGAGCTTCTAATGAGTATGGATTTGAATTTGGGTTGCCCACTTCTAAATTAATTCTCTACCCACCATGCTATACTTGCTCAAATTCACATTAAACCTAGATAGCCAAGCATGTTCTCCATTAAACTGTTAAATATTTTCTCTTTCTTATAGAGTTCAAAGTTATGTTACTAATCATTCATATGACTCTTTATAAACAATTCCTAATAAGATTCTTTCCTTCTCTTCCTTTTATCTTTGGCAGGCATTGACAGAGAATAGTTTTGGGGTCATCACAACTGAAATCCGCGAGGCTCCAGAGTTCTACTATGCTGAAGAATATCACCAGCAGTACCTAAGCAAACACCCTAATGGTTACTGTGGACTTGGAGGCACAGGGGTTTCCTGTCCTATTGGTATTAAAGTATGATCCTTACTCACAGGGCACATATCCAACATAAAGAATTGTGTTTTGGATTTTTACTGCAGACTTCAGTGTAGCTTTCACAAATATAAAAACAGTGGCATTTATTCTCAAGGAAAGGCATAGTATCAAGTAATGCAAAATTAATTGTGGAATCTTCTTTGGACTATTTCCTTTTGAGTTTAGATAAGAAAAAAACACATTTTTTAAATAGAAATAAATTCATTACATTTAGAAAATCTGCATAGTAGAGGAGGATTTTCTGCTTAGACGTAGTTCTCTGCCTTTTCAGAGGATGAATAACCTTCTGATACTGCGTAGGATCACTCTTAAAAATATAGGAACATCTGAAATGGCACTGACCATGATGATTTATATCAGAGACAGGCAATTTCTGAAGTCATGAAGGCCGCAATGGTCTGTCTCTGGCATGTTGAGGGCTAAACTCTAAATGTGCAATGTCCATTGGTGCAGTGTTTAAAAGAGTTATGTTTTTTTAAAAAAAACAAATAAATGCACAAGCTATTGCAAGGGTCAAGATTAAGGAAATCTCACTCCTTAAGCACTCTCCCAATCCCTAAAATGAGGGGGAACAGTTTGAAGATTTTGGCTCTCTTTATTGGCCAGATTTGCAAAAGTGATCATGGTAGATTGTATGTAACATATAGGCTGCAATTTTGCATACTTATAATCTTGCTGAATATGTATGCATCTGAATCACGTTAGTGCCATATAGAGTGATATATTTTGGGTAGGATTTGCTGGGATTTTATATCATATAAGCTAACATAACTTTTTACATTAATACTGTAAGCTGAAGAGTTAAGGCAAAGATATGCATGTCATGTTTAAGTAACAAGAAAGAATATTAGCAAACTTATTGGGGGGAAAGTTTCCTGGGAATGAATTGAAATTGAGAAAGAGGAGCCAAGGGCAGGGTTAGCATTTCCACACCTCTCCGCATTTCTTTACTCAAAATATCCAATCTTGCAATTCACTTCATAAATTATCACCAGAGATATAATATTAACAGCGAGCTATTAGCCTGATAGCTCTGCCTCAGATTGTGTTCCATTATGTATATGCTTTTTGAAGTTAACTGCTAAATAAATTTCAAGTGGGAACATTATGTAGCTATAACCACCCTTAATAACTATTACATTATGCAAGAAATTGGGTATTTGCTGAAAGTAAGTGAGGGATGCGAGAACATTGATGTTGAGTAAGTTTCTTAATTGATTTCTCGGCTTGATTCTGAAATGTAAAGGGGAAGCTTGAAGTTTTATGTAGGCTCTCCACTCACAGATTTCTTTCAGGCCCCAAATATTTGTTTCATACAAATATGTTTAAGAAGGTGTTCCGTAATTCTTTCACCAGTCCCAATCTCTTATGCCAACACACACACACACACACACACACACACACACACACACACACACANGAGAGAGAGAGAGAGAGAGAGAGAGAGAGAGAGAGAGAGAGAGAGAGAGAGAGAGAGAGATATTCTCAATATTGGGAAGGGATCATATGCAGAAGAAGCAAAGTATTCTGTTGACCTGAGAATTGGTCTGAATTGGTAGGAAGACTGTATCAAATATATCACAATAAAGGGCTGCAAATATATATGATGGTTCATATCTGCTTTGTACTGTTATATTAAGTATATGAAATCCAAGTCTGGGACTTCACTTTTGGCTCACAGCTTGGTAGCCATGGATCAGATACTCCTTCCTGGAGGTCTCCACATAGCCATAAATATGTACTCCCAATATTTGTGGTGCATCTCTCTTCCAAATGCTCTCTTGTAATAAAGAAATATGGGTGAAATTGTGAACTGGTCTCATCCTTTAAGCCACACTCACACAACCACTTTCAGCTATTTGCTTTTCATCCTGTTGGTCAGTGATGGAAATCAGCAAATGGTGATTTGTTATTTGATATGTTGCAAATGCAACATATGGTGCGTTTCAGTGTCGGACATTGGCACAGTCTTACTGTGTACTGTAACTCTGCCTTCCGTCTTGGACCACCCCCATCACTTGTAATGCCTGGTTCCTATAGTAACAGAATGTATTGTGTTGAGCATTATACCTCTGAATTGTTCTATTGTTCACTGTCAAGGAAACCAGCACTATCTATAATTTCCCAGCCACTTGGTGAAAAGGAAATGAAAGGGAGAACGGGTGTAATGATTATGTTGGTACCTTACTCCTGCTATCTTTGCTTCTGGCTAATATTGGTTGGTGTGGGTGTGGGTATTCTACTAAGTGAGATCTCTTTGGCAAAACAATGTTCATTGCCAAGGAGCAATCACAAATTACAGCTTTAGAATCACCATTGTTTAAGATGAAGAGTACTGTTGGAGTTTGTATTCATTAGCACATCTGATACCATTTGATTCTGGGTTTTGCAAAACATCAAAAGAGGTTTTTATCCTACCAGGAAACTTATTTCTCATAGTGGTTGCTTAATGTAATGCTGTTGGATCATCATTTCAAACATGTCCTGCCCAGCCTGCCTCAAGATTGTATTTATTTGTGTATTGCCTAGAAATCCTACTGATCTGTTCATTGCTTTTGGCTTCTTGACCTTTGTGCCCTTTGTATAGCGGTAATGAATAATTTGCCTCCTTAGTCATTTTATGTTAGTGTGATCTAACCTATCCAAATATAGGATAAATATATTTTCAGAGGGGCTGCTGCCTTTGCCTCCTGCAAGAAAACAGGAGAGATGTCTGGTACCATTAAGAATCACGGCCTGTCTCCATTTCTTCCCAATCGTTTTCTAACCATGTCCCATGATGTTACATTCATCTTATTTCAAACCATGAGTGAGATAGCTTAAATATTTCCTATCCCTACCACTATTAAAGTTGTATCCCCTCCCCTGCACCCATTTCAACACTATCCAAGACATAAAATGATACAAAATCTATTGGGATTTGTCACCAGTAACCCTGGAGGGAAGTCCAGTGACAGAAATGATTGAGAATACAGGAAGGTTAGAGTTTGACAATGGGAACATCAAAATTCAGTCTGGCATTATTTTTTGCCACCTCAAGGATGGTTGAGTAGCACTTCAGCTCATCAGTGGGGAAAGACCTTCTGTATAACTTAGCAATTTACAAAGGAGAAAAATCAGAGGCATGAAAAATATCACTCTAGTGCTGCAGAGGGCAACCTCAGTATGCATACAGCTGCAATTTCCCATTTGCAGCTTCCCAAATTTCTCTAGGTAGGTTTGGAATGACTTTTTTTATTTTTGATATTTAGGAAGGTTAATAGGCAAACTCAGCACCATAGCCTTGCAGAGATATAAGGCCTCCTATCAAAAAGTGGGCTCATTTTTTTTATTCTGGATTAAGTTAAAGGGTACAATGAGTGACTTGAGCTATAGCTTTTTACTAGCCTTCTCCAAATTTAAAAAAAATTATAAAGTCAACCTATAAAAACCAGGTACTAGTTTGCTTAAATTATAGCTGTGTTGTTTTATTGATAGTTGCCCTTATCTTGTGCCCTTCGGACAGAGTGGCATTTCAGCTCCATATAATCAGCCATGTACAAACTTACAAACAAATCCTTGTCTTCCTGCCTTCCTCCTACTCCCAAAAGGATCTGGGTGGCACTCTCTGTCCTCCTTCTATATATACATACTTGTGTTGTGGCTCCGTCCTGTGGGTCCCTCTCATCAGAGGAGGAAGGCTCTGAACATGAAGGAGAGGAGACGGCCAGGCCTCCCTCTCCAGGACCTTCCCCTCTGGTGCGGCCTTTGGTGCCTTCCGCTGAAGAGGAGATTGGCCAGGAGCCAGGTGCTTCTGGGATTGGCCAGGAGCCAGGTGTATCGGACTCCGAGGAGGATACGTCTTGGCTGGATCCACGCCAGCGTCGGAGGGACAAGCGTGCGCAGCAGCTGAAACGCCGTGCCAGAGATTTCAGCTGAGTCACTGGGCCACACCCCACTAGCTATATAAGCAAGGGGTGTGTTGTGTGAAACTCTTGTGACGGACAATTTTGCTGAATCTCCTGTTGCAGCACTCCGGCAATTTATCCTGGACTTATTGTATGTTTTGTTTTGTATTATCAAGTAAAGGCTTTGGCAGGCAGCCACGAAGTTGCTGCCAAGTGTTCATTTGTATTTGGCTGTGCTGAGCAGTTTTTCAGCCCTCGGCTGACTGGTTGGGGGGTGTGAGTCGGAGGGGGGACAGAACATCTTGTCCGTCACCAGACAGAACCATCGTTAACCCACGATGGACCAACAGCAGCAGCAGATTCAACAGCTGATGGATGCTAATCAGCTGTTGCAACAACAAGTAGGCCATTTAACGGCTCAACTCGCTTTGGCTAATGCTCCTGCTGCTCCTCCCCCCCTCCTCCTCCTCCTCCTCCTCCTCCTCCTCCTCCTCGTTCAAGATGCCCCGTGAAGGTGCCAGACAGCTTTTCTGGGCAGACGGAGCAGTTCCCGGCCTTCATGGGACAATGCCAACTCTTTATGGCGATGAGGCCGGAGGATTTTTTGGATGATCGGGCTCGGGTGGCGTTTGTGATCAGCTACCTTTCTGGCTCTGCCGCCCGATGGGCCACGCCCTTGCTGTTGCAAAACAGTCCGTTACTCCTCGACTACCAGGGCTTTCTGCAACACCTGTGCGTCATGTACGAAGACCCCCTTTGCGTGCAGACGGCAGCAAGGCGCATTAAGGACCTCCGCCAAGGGAAGCGCGCCTTGCAGGAATATATCACTGAGTTCCGCCTTCTCGGCCAGGACTCAGCCTGGAATGATGCGGCGTTGATGGATGCCTTCCAGGACGGCCTCTCCGATGACCTGCAGGATGAGTTGGTCCAACTGGAGGTGCCCCCGACCCTTGACGCTTTGGTGCTCCAGTGCCTGCGCATTGATGCCCGCCTTCAACGGCGACGGCCTCGTCGATCCCTGCCGGAACCACTGCCAGCGGCGGCACCCCCGCGTTGCGCACCGACAGGACCCCGAACCGCCCCACGCTTTGTGGCAACGGGTGAGGAACCCATGGAGCTCGGAGCAGCGCGACCTCACCTGACGGCCCAGGAGCGGATGCGGCGACGCCAAGGGGGTTTGTGCCTCTATTGTGGTGAGGCTGGACATTTTGCCGCCTCGTGTCCCAGGAAGCGGAGTGGGGCACTCAAGCCTGTTCCGGAGTCTCGGCGTGATCAGCCGGGAAACGGGCCAGGCCTGGTCTAGGGGAAACCCTGGGTCAGGCACGAAACTATGCCCCACCGGAGTCGGCGACTGTGGACTATGAGCCCCCTCGGCACCTGATCCTGGACACCCGGGTGTTGTTGGCCAACCGGTCGGAGGGACTTCCGGTGCATGCGCTGGTTGACTCGAGGGCCACGTCGAACTTTATGGACCAGGCCTTTGTGACCCATTTCAAGGTCCCCTTGGTTCCAGTGGACCCTCCGTTGAGGGTCGAGACTATTGATGGGCGGGAGCTTGTGGCGGGGCCCATCAAATTCGCTACCCAACCCTTGCGCCTAGCCATTGGGGCCGAGGAGGCGATTCAGTTTTATGTGACGGCGGACTTGCATTTTCCCTTGGTCCTGGGGATGGCCTGGCTTCGGGCTCACGATCCTCAGGTGGCATGGTCGAAAAACGCCATCTCGTTCCCGAGCCTGCAGTGTGTCGATCACCACCGCCACACCTGTGCCGGCCAGGACGTCTCCACCCCAGCCGTCTCCTTGCCTCCTGAGCTGACGTCCTTCGCCGATGTGTTCAGCGAAAAGGAGGCGGACCGATTACCCCCGCATCGACCCTACGACTGCCCGGTGGATCTGCTGCCCAACGCGCCACTGCCCGCGGGCCGCCTGTACTCCATGTCGGAGCCCGAGTTGGCCGCCCTACGGGATTTCCTGGAGAAGAACCTGGCCCGTGGGTTTATCCGGCCTTCGTCCTCCCCGCTCTCGGCCCCGGTCCTTTTCGTGAAGAAGAAGACGGGGGACCTACGCCTGTGCTGCGACTACCGGCGCTTGAACACCATCACAGTGCGGAATCGCTACCCCCTGCCGCTCATCCCCGAGCTGATGGAGCGGTTGCGGGAGGCCTCGATCTTCACCAAGCTCGATCTCCGAGGGGCCTACAACCTGGTGCGCGTGCGTGAGGGGGACGAGTGGAAGACGGCATTTGGCACCCGATATGGCCACTTTGAGTATACCGTCATGCCGTTCGGGTTGACCAACGCTCCCGCGGTCTTCCAGCACCTGATGAACGACGTGTTCTGGGACATGTTGGACCGGTTCGTGGTGATCTACCTGGATGACATTTTAATCTATTCCCCGAACCAGGAGAGCCACCTCCAGCATGTCCGCCAGGTCCTGTAGCGCCTGCGGGAGAATCAACTCTATGCGAAGGTGGAGAAATGTTACTTCTTCCAGACTTCCATAGAGTTCCTCGGGCACATCATCACCCCCGAGGGCATCGCAATGGACCCGCGCAAGGTGGAGGCTTTGCGCAGTTGGGAACCCCCACGTCGGGTGAAGGACGTCCAGTGTCTGCTGGGGTTCGCCAACTACTACCGGACCTTCATCCCGGGCTTCGCCACTCTGACCTTGCCGCTGACCCAACTTCTTCGGAAGAAGGTCCCGTTCCAGTGGGGGCCCCCGCAGCAGCAGGCCTTCGAGGTCCTCAAGCGGGCCTTCATCACGGAGCCGGTCCTCAGGCATCCCAATCCACACCGTCCGTTCGTGGTCGAGACGGATGCGTCCAACGTGGCGATTGGAGCAGTTCTGCTACAGGCTCCGGTGGATGGTGGCACTCTTTTCCCCTGCACTTACTACTCCCGGAAACTCAATCCTTCTGAGCGCAACT